GTCGTTATTTATACATTTTCACTTATATATTTTGTCCAGCGAGAGAACGTATCGTAGGTTACGACCCACGCGCGAAACACGACGGTGTTCGGTCAAGGGATTGTACAATGCATTTTTAAGCATACAAATAATGTTGATCTTAATAGTTCATGTATTTAATTAAACAATATGCTGATATTATTTTAACTATAAACTAGTGGATAATGTCAATTCAATTATTTAACATCTATTTGGAGTTCAAATAACACCAACACTTAATGCTGTTTTAAGTGAAGGTTTAGTATTAAACCATGTGTACTTCATTATACACACACTGTTGTTATTTTAACACGCCAAAGCACATAATTTACTATTTAGCTGTTTGAAAAACTCAGTAAAATGTTAAATCAACTACAGATTTCTATCTGGGTATGTAATGAATTCGCTAAAATTCTGAACAATAATACAAATAATGTAAACATCGCTTTTAAGACTAATAATTTAATCAAACATTTAAACAATAGAACTAAAAGCTTCACAAAAAATTCCTTTTCTTTTAAAAATGCTGGTATATATATAAAATTAAATATAACTGTAATAAATTTTATACAGGTAAGACAAATATAAATTTTAAAATAAGATATAAAGAACATATTTCTGAAATAAAATTAAAAAAGGAGCTGATATTAGGGATGGGAGTAGCCACTGTTGTAGGAAAGAAGTTAGGAAGGTAGGATACATAAGGTTATTTCATGTATAAGCAACGATAAACCATTGCTTGACGAAAGACGATTTCGAGCGCAGTTCAGTAATACATAATTTGAAGTACCGTATTTTTTCGTTTAAATTTGATTTAAAAACTTTATTAAAAAAATAAAAATTCGTCCGATGATTTTAGAAATTTTTTTATACCACGTCTAGGTAAGTCGATTATAAATATTATTACCAAGTTCCAAGTTTTTATATATATATATATAACCGAATAACAGCAAAAGAACTCCCAAAAATTAAAATTCCTTAAAAGTTCAAAAATGGCTCAAAAGTTTTGACGTTAATACTGAATGAAAGTAAATCAAAAAGGCAACAAAAAATGTATCTTGTGATTTTTCGATTAAATCATTTTTTCTGGTAAAAAACGTTGTTCGTGTTTTTATAAAATAATGAAATCGTGAAATTGTACGTTTCCTTACGTTTTTTCCCATTTAAGTGCATTTATTTAAAAAAGGGCGCCTAAAATCATGATGAAAAATGATGTGTTTAAAGTACCATTTAGACAACTTGAGCTTTCAGAAAAGTTGCTACGTGTAAAAATCGAAGCAAGTTTACTAGAAAAAAACGTATCCACATGAAATACATGTGTGTATAGGTACTGTATAATTTTGGTGAATTCAACCGAATTTTGGATGTAGTCAAACCATTTTAGATCGGCCGAATTTTGTCCTCGATAAATGGTCGAATAATTCGGCAGACGCTGCCCGAATAATATTCAGCTAATGGTGGGTCTAGTCTAACCATCGACTTAGAGTGCAAATCTAGAGACTTTAAATTTTCTCATTAAAAAAAAAAAAAAATTACGGGTCAAATCTTTTCGAGGGCCTTAAGCAGTGTTTAATTTCCTTATAGGTTAATTCGGTACTGGATGTGTTAAATTTGAATTCAATGATGCACATTGTATACGTAAAAAACGATTCTGAATGGAAATAATTTGTCAGCCGGGGATTTTTTTTCAAATTATTATTATGAAGAAGTTATATTCATTATTATATAAAAAAGTTACAAAAAAAAAAATATCCTTAGAAATAGGCCAACGTCATACAAATTCCATAGGTATACTAAATATTTTCAAAAAAAATAAAAACTTTGTATTTAGGGTACGTGTGAGATTCTACTTGTACGTTTTTTAATAAGTTTCTACTATACATTTTACAATAAATTAAACTATATATTATATCGATCACTTCAAATCTCATCTTTAAAAAAGACACATAATAATAAACTATACAATTAATATGTAAAAACCGTATTTTTTTTAAGAACGTTGGCGATAAGGAAATACAACTATCATCACTGTAAATTTGTTGTATATGATAGATAATTATTAAAATAACCTACTTACCTATAATATCAAATAGGTATATATTTATAATTCACCGATACAATATGAGTGAATTATTAACTTGGCACATGTAAAAATAATAAAACAAATTTAAATATTTGCAGACACCATATAATATATTAAGTACACATTATACTGAAATAAAGTTATTATTAAGATTTTCCTTAGGCTATCTGTTTTATTGTAGCAGTCAGATGTGTGTAATTATCAGCTCAAAACACCTACTTCAAACTTTTTTAGTCGTCATAAAACTATTTTTTATTATTTGGGCTGTGAATTCAATGCAATGAAAAACCTTAAAAATACACAAAACATAGAAAAAAATTTCAAATAATTTAATAAAATATAAACTACCCAGTATTTCAATAAAATATAATCTACAATTTTTGTTAACATTTAACTTTACAACTGTTTAAATGTTTTATTCTATAATGTATGAAATGTACATTTAAATTTGAACTCAAGTTCCTTACTAACTAAACATTAAACATTTTTCAATATAAATGTTTAATATACTGACAGCAGGTACTGAGTAAATAGTATATAAATTCAGTAGTTAACCAGTTTTAGCGCGTGTAGTCAACTAACATAAACAGACAAGCAATAACTTGCTCCATACTGCTCAAGTTAATAAAAACCATAACCTTCTGGTTCATACAAATATTTTCAAACACCTAGCTAAAAAACCGAAATTAATAAATCCGGTTTGGGAATATCTAGACAAAAAGAACCAGTGGTTAAATTAGTGGATTGAAGCTAAAGTCAACAACTCAGGGCTAATCAAAGATCCTACAAAGACTCACAGGTTTCAACATCCCCCACACAGACATCTAGACAGCAATTAACAGAATTAAGACTGCACAGTGTAGATGCAAATATCAGCTTCACAAATGGGGGATAACTGATTCCTTCTTTTGTGACTGCCTTGAACCTTAAACAGTAAGGCACATTGTTTGGAATCTATGCCTAAGGAAAATATAACCTTAATAGTAACTTTTTTTTAGAAAATTTAATTTAGTATAATTTGTACTTAATATATTTTATAGTGTCTTTAAATATTTATCAAACATATTAAAATAACTAAACAAATTTATTTTGTCATAGATAAAAATTATTTTTATATATTTTAATATTTTTCTTAGAAAATAATGAATTAATGAAAAATTTTGTTTTATTATTTTTTACATACATTATTAAGCTCTAATATTAAGGTTTTATCTATAAGCAACAATAACGAAAAAATTTGATTCTGAGTGAAGTTCAGTTGACAGTGTTACTTTGTCAACAATATATATATGTCATATTATGCTTTAGTATAAAATAAAGATATATATTATAAAGACTAATAGTTAAAATAATGTATTGAAATCAAAATTTATTTTATTTTAATGTAGCTCAGTCTATAGTATTGTTTTTTTAATAATGTGCATTTTCATGAAAACAATGATTGTTTACAAAAGATTAAATAATAATAATAAAAACTTAATAATAACAAAAACTAAACAAAAAACAGTTGCCAATGACAACTACTTGTAATCTTTCAATCTTCTTTAACTTAAAAGAACCAGGTTTTCATTATCTTGAATATTAATAAGAATTTTAAAACGTGACCTCTCTAAAGTACCACCCAGAGAACATTTCTTATCAGAAAAGTTGCTATACTTGATAATAGTAAGCTTTCTGGTAGAAATTATTCAAATAAAATAAAATAAATATATATAAATCATTGTAAAACCAACACATTCCTCACTCTGCTCAGAATCTAAAACATATATGGACCATCCACTGTAGGGATTAAGAACTAGCTACTTCTTAACATGCAACCTATAGTTCTTTGGAAAATGCATCACTATCTAGAGCTAGACCCATAAAATAAAAATAAAAATTTGATTATATGCCTACCAATTCCAAATGAAATTATTTAATAAAATATATGAGTTGGTTTTTGTACTAGGGTATGTTTTTTTATCTTAACTATTATGGCTTTTTGAAAATCATGGTTTTGTAATTTTTTTTAAAAAAATGTCTCATTTATAAGAAAAGATCCCTCTTCACCGTGCCTTAATGTATAAGAATAATTGCTTTAAAGACTATATTATTAGTTTATGTCACAGTTATGCATTTCTAAAAGATATTTCTATAATATCTTTACCAAGATAAAATCAATCAGATTATTGAAACAACACATCGGTTATTTGAAACAAATAGAGTATATATTAAAGGTACTACTATACTACTGCAATACTATATTATCTTATCTTTACTATATCATTACATATATAAATTGTCCAATTAATTTTCTTTACTTTTACTTTTCTTTATTGTAAGTAAAATACCTACTAAGCTCTTTACTGTAATTTTTTTAGTTCAGCTTCAGTGTGGGTGGTTAGTATTTTGGCTTTGAGCAACATTATTCTTATGAAAACATGGTCATCAAGTTACTATAAAAGTTTTAAAAAAACAGATATTAATAGATACATATTTTACATAACTTATAAAATTATTCATTTTTTTTTTTTATAGTAGATATATTTTTATTAATTATACATTTTTTTCATAGCTAATAAAACCAATTGCTTAATTGACACATTTCAACTTGGTCCAAAATTGTTCCTAATAAGCTGCTTCTATTGTATGTCCAATATGTACTTGTATAAAAAAAACAGTTCTATTTCATTGTCAAAAATCAGTTAGATTAAATTAAATATTAAGTAAATTATTATTTATTACTTATTACTATAGGACCAACAGAAATATGCCCTGGAAACCTATTAAATATTTATACAGTTATACCATAAAAATACCAAAATATGCAAAAGAATAAAAAAAAAAATATATATATATATATAATAATAAATTCAAATTAAAATTTTTTTTAATATTACAGATTATCTATATTTTATAGTAATCCTTTGGGCATGGAATTTTATGTAATAAAAAGTCAATATATATTAATACAGTGGATGCTTATAAGATTTACTTTGGACCCAGCACAAAGTAGGTCTTATAACTGAATGAACTTTATAGTGGAGAAAAGATAAAATGTATTTAGATATGTCCAGGCCATTCTGAGTGATTTTGAGTCTAATAAATGGCTGAACCTTATATCCACGAGTCTTATAAGGTCCACTGTATTTTAGCTGTTATCTTTGTCAAAATATGTAATAAAAAACATGAAATATTTAACTTAACAATTTAATTTTAAATTTGAATCATACAAAAAGTGTTACATATATGTATATATATAGGTTTATTAAGTTAAATTAAATTGGGATAAGGTTAAATTTTATTTATTTGTCTTGTACATTTAAAGATATCAAATTTAAAAATGTATGGTAGTTATAATTATAGGTCTCAAAATTGATTGTTAAAGACTAAAGGAGAGTTAAACATAAATGGCTTTCGAATTACATACATGATATATGCATGGTAGTAAAAAATCAATATCTATTGATAGTTTTCATTTTTATTTAAAAGAATATTTTTAATAGCTTTTAATATAATAATGATCAATGTCAATATTTCTGTTAAATTCAATAGGAATCTATTAATAAATATATATGGTAAAATATTTAAAAATATATATTTGTATCAAAATATGTGGAAATATATAAAATAAAAGAAATCTGCATTTGATCAAACTACATGTTTACATAAATATCCACACCCTAATAATGATTTATAAAAGAAAATAATATTTTATCTGAAACAAGGGTAGTTGGTATATTATCAGCTTGCCTGCTAAATACTGGTAATTATAAACCATTATTTTTTAGTTTTTGGTTCAATTGAAAATATCTTAAAAATGTGTCCTAAAATGCCAAAATATGCAAAGCAAAATTGTTTATATACTATATAAGGTCTAGGATACCTATCTAGGTATTTATAGGTTATGAAACACATTTTTGCATAAACTATTTTTTTAATCAACCAATAAAAATATGAAAATGCATAAAATTGTTGGCCCTGCTTATTATACTTAAATCTAACAAACATGTTTGTCTACAAAAAAAAAAAAAAAATATGATGATGATAATAATAACAACAACATCATAAAATGTTAACATTAAGATACAAATATTATAGATTCATTGTAGTATGTACAATTTTAATATAATAATAAGATAAAATAATAGTTAAAGTTTAGTGCAATAATGTTGTATAAATAATATTTGAGACATAGGTATCATATACAAATAAATACTTAAACTATTTTATATTCTAAACACTTTATAAAGTATAAGACACATGAATATTTAAATAATTAATAGTAAATTAAAAAAATAATTGACATAATACAGTAAAATCTATTAAAGTATAATAAACTGACTGTATAACAAACTTCGAATGAAATAGTATTGCCGGCTAATTATTCCTTCAACTAAAACTTTTCCAGAAGAATTCTAAAATATACAAAAGTAATACATATAATATGGCAATAGTTTAGAACCAAAAAACAAATTTTATGAGTTTGAAGTGTAATAAATTATTTTAATATTACTACAGTCAATCCATCTTAATCACCCATTTATAGGTATTCCCATAACAATTTATTTTTATTTAAACTACTAAATTATCATTAGTATTATTAATAAATTATGTTTTTAATTAAATTAATAAACTATTATCAAAATTATTCCTTATAATAATACCTAACTTTCGAAAACATTTGATGTCCTAAAAATGTCAATTTTGAAGATATCAAAATATTGTTCAGGTCAAAGATACTCAGAAAAACATAAAAAAATCCATATCCAGTCTCAAACCAGTGGTTCTTATTAAAGTAATTTTTATTTTACTACACATGTGTGGACAAAAATAGTTGAAAATTGGAATTTATTAAAAAAATTTACGACAATATGTAGTAACTCTCTCCCCCAATCAAATTCAAGGCCATGTGTTCAAAATATTTTCTTTATATTTTTAATATATTATTGAATATTCATCTAAAAACAACTTGTTATTTTTTCTCTAAATATAATCCAATTTAAAATTTTTTTTTTTTGGCAAAAGTATTATGTAAGTATATCTTATACTTATATTATGATAGTTTCTTGAAATGTTACAAAAAGTAAAACATATAAAACAAATGTCTTATAGAAAATTGATCACCATACATACGTACACTTAATATAAACTCCTCCAGAAATTTCTTTTTATTTATGCCACTGAATTAACGCATATTTGATGATATGTCATATCATCTTTGAATATTTTTCTAAGAAAATCAATATGTATACAATTATGTACTTTTATTTCTAGTTGTGAAATATACATCATTAATTACATAATACAATACACAAATATGAACCAAAGGAAGCACCTCCCCCCCAAAAAAGACGCTAGGTAGATAACCATTATGAAATAAGCTGACCCACAGTTTTCAAACTCTAGATCCACCACTGATATACACATTTAAAAAAATCCAAAGTAATACTTACTCGACGCACGCAAACAGTTCGGTTGCAACACCATAAGACACCTTCTGAAAGTTCACAAGGTATGTTATTTTTAGATAAAATTTGTTTAAAATCAGATAATTTTAGACGATTGATAAATATGGCTTTCCGGCATAAAGTGTCCTGAAAAGTAAACCATTCAAATTACATACCTATAATTAAATTTGATAATAAAACAAAAATAAACTTACATTAACTGGTATAGGTTTTAATGTAAATATAGGCTCATCTATTCTAGGCACTACATAAAATAAAACAAAGTAAAAAATAAAAGTAAATAAATAATAAAAATCTCAATTTTCAATTATATTAAGATAATCATTTTACTTTTTTCTGGGATAACAACATTATCAACATTCATGGCATTTTCATTTTCACTTTTTTTTTCTTTTGGTTTTAATGTAGCATTCAAATAAGCTAAATCTCCATTTGGACCTTTTTTAAAACGTAGTGTTGAAAGGAGCTCATCTGTTAGGCGTACCTAAAATGTATAAGTCAAACAACAAAAAAAATTATATTTTCATAAGAGTTAAATTTAAATATTTATTACTTGATAAATATGTGATTCAGATGTTACATTCAGACATTGTCCAACACCAGGTGAAAATACTGCACTATCACAAAATACTTTGGCAAAATTTATAATTATTTTAGAGCTTGTTTGTGGACTTCTTATTATTAACAAACGTCTTGGTTTTAAAGCAAGGACAATTTGTTTCAATGATTCACCATCTGAACGACCTTCAAAATCAATATGTATAACTTTTGCTGCTATAAAAATTGTTTCTTCATATTGCACACATTTGGATGGAATTTCGCATAAATCAATTTCTTCATCTACATTGTCCGGTTTTTTAATTTGTTCATCTAAATTAATTTCATCTTCTACTTTGGCATCAAATTTAAGGAAATCTTCTTTTCTAATCAACAAATATTTATTGTGATAGAAATTATATACAATATTTTATAAAAAAATAACAACAAAATTTCCAATTATTAATGTCAAAAAAATATAACAAATCAAAATCTTTAGGAACAAAAATAATTAATCATTTTAGAAGCTATAAAAAAGAAAACTCATGAGGACATTACAACAAACTTACATAATGAGTCTGATAAATAGGGAAAACCATAGTTAGTTAATTATATTAAGCAATTTATTTAATTCATTAAATAACTTATTTGTCAACTGTTTAAAATGTTTTCAGTTTGTTCCCTAGAAGGAGTAATGTCATTTTAAATGAATCCAATTATGTAGTTGAACCAAACTAAAAATGTTTGAAATGTTTAAATACAATATATATTATATTTTTAATTATTAGTTAAAATCAATAACAATTAAGCTGGCTAAAAAAATTGCATGTAAAAAAATTAATATTCTGATAAGCATTATTATATTATCAATAGATATATCACAACAATTATCTTCATAATAAAATATAAAATATGATAAAATTTTACCAATATATTGTTAATAAATTAAAAATTCAATGTACCCATGTTTTAAAATATGAATTTTGTTCTTTAATTTTAACAAAAGATAACATTTTTTTTTTAGGTCATTTTCTTGTATGCTTCTAAACTCAGTTTTATTTGACAGAACATAAACAGGAAGAGTGGCAATTAAAAAAGGAGAATTTGTTATTAATTTTATATTTACATATAATGTAAGCACCGATATCCTTAATGTACTCCCTTTCGAATCTGATGAACTTATTTCAGAGCTTCCCCCATTTTTGGAAGTATCCCTGGAAGACATATGGATGGAGTGAGGTCCTTCAATGTTATTCAAACCTTTGAAACAGTGTCAATTTAACTATAGTAATAGTCAAAAGTCTAATGGTGATCAGAGCTATATGGAAATGGTGGGGGAGGGGGGGGAAAGAAAGGATGATGAAAAATCCAATCATTTTCTGCTGATTCAGATATGACACATCCAACTCATGCACACATTTACTTCAATATTTCAATGAGAAAAATTATTGTCAAAATCTGCAACACACTTAATTTTTGATAGTTTGCTTACTTCTTTTTTTTTCAGTGCACCTGTCATGTTATTAATGGCAATTTTTAATTCTATATGTATACATATTTTAATATTTCGGGTGGTTTTTCTATGGATTTCACAAAAAACTTGATGCTCCATTTTATTTATTTACCACACATATTTATTAGACTACCATCAGGGCACTAACACTTTGAAATGCGCACATCACTAAATATTAATCAGATCAAGATCAAACTTATATAACTCATGTAAAAACTTTTGAACATTATGATAAGCCTATTACAAAGTAATCAATGTCAAAACTTGAAGCCCAAAAACTAAAATTCTTGTTATTTAATTGCCACACCTCTTAATTACAAAACACAATAAATAAATAATTACAAGTAATCCCAATTACAAATGATAATTGTTTATCACATACTTAGGTTTATCAATAATTTTGAAGATTTTTAGATAGTTGAGGTCTCCAGAAGGTAAATTACTTTTCATTGAAAATAAAGTATTAATAAATTTATACTTCAGTTATATGGTTAATATATGGTCTATAAATGATAATTAAATAAGCAGTATGGTATATTTGAAAGAAACCCAAAAAACAGCTGATACTGTTAGTAAATGTACCACTATTATAGGTGGGAAGTTGGGAAGGTTGGATATATAGTTATTTAATTTATATTTGTACATAACTCTAATCATTCTAACAAAATAAGATCCTCAGTTAGGTATATACATTTTAAAATGCAGTAATATTTATAATTTTCATCAAAATTTAATCTTACATTCAAAAAAAAAAAGATGGACATACTTAGCATGATGGGTGAGCCACTATTGTAGGAATGAATTAGGGAAGGTAGAGGGAAAATTTAATTTATATCTGTATAGTGATCCATTTAATTGGGTAGACTTAAGGTAGTAGGACATACTTTGCTACTTTGCACATGGGTGTAACCACTGTTACATCCACTGTAGGTGGAAAATTGGGAAGCTAAGCTATAGATAGAAATTTAATGTACATCAATAAATAATGATAAACCATTTCTAACTCTGAACTGAGTTCAGTTGATAATGCTGCTTTGTCAACAATACAATATATGGTAAAATGTCATGTTATCGTAAAATAATTTCCACCACAACAATGATTGTTTAAAAAAGATTAAAATAATAAAAACTTAATAATAACAAAAATAAATAAATATGGTTGCCTATGACAACCTTATCTTTCAATAATAATGAGAATTTCAAAAAACTACCTCTTTAAAGTACCACCCATAGAAAATTTTCTTTCAGAGAAGGTGCTATACTTGATAATCAGAGTATACTTTCTGGTAGAAAGTGTTCACGTAAAATAAAAATAAACATCATTGTAAAACCAATACATTCAGAATCTAAAATCATTTATCTACCAATAATTTTGATCATTTTGTGTCTAATAATTCTTATATATGATTTTTATCCATTTTATTATAATAATAATGTAAGTAAATAGAGTACATAAAAAGGAACAAAAAATTACTAAAATACGAAAACACATACACTGTAGGTACACAAATAATAAAAGTGAATCTAAATAATAATATAGCAACAAAGTATAATCAAATTTATCATAATTCATAGCCACCATTAACATTACAATAAGAAATAACTATTCTAAAAAAATACCAAATATAACTACCATATGATTCTCAATAATAGGTGTTTATGACATTGACACAAATAGTTATACGAATAGTCACACAAGGTACATAATATGTATCCCAGTCAACTTCAGTACAAATATAATAGACTATAAAAAGACCTAAACCAAAAATGAAAATAAATGATTTTAAATATACTTATCTAGGATAGATACTCAAAAAGATTGGATACTAGATAACTTGGTATCTAAAACACTGGGATACATACTATGTACCACATCGGACTAACTGAGGGTTAAGAAGATATTGGGATATCTAGAATAATAGTGTGACATCTTTGGCTGGGCTTGGAACAATGTGAAAATTGCTAGCATTAAACAATGATTTACTACCAAACTAAACATTTTTTATTTGATATTTGATTTATGTATAAATATATGATTTTTTTGTGATAAAGACAGTAGAAGTATCTAAATTTCAATATTAAAAATACTATAAGAGATATTTTTGTTACATACATAGTGTTAGCTAAGCAGATTTAAAACAAGGATATAACAAAAATATTTTTATTTTTACTTAAAAATCTTACTTTATGACTTCTCCAAAAGGATCAACTTTGCATTTCTCTTCAAAACATGGGTACATTGGTGGTAATTCTTTTTTTGAAGATTTCTTTATTTTTATGGGCTCAGAGGCCAGAAGTAAATCAAATTCACCCCTTATAGGTTCATCATTTTCTGAATCAGAACTTTCTTGAACACTAAAATGATACAAAATTTTAAATTAAAAATGTACATATCTTATGCAATACAAGTAACTAATGTAAAAAAATATACTTTTTACTAGCTTCCATCTTATCAGCTTTGTGTTTATTATTATACTGCTCTAATTCTTCATCTTCTAAAGGAACACGTTTTTTAACAGTCAATTTAATATACCTATCTCCACCTCCATCAATTAAATCTCTTGCTAGTGTACCTGGTGCTGTCCTATAATATAAATACTTTTAACTAATAAATAACATGTATTTATATTATTGTAGATAGTCTTAACCTGTCTGTAAGAATAACACTATTTTTCGCCTTCTGAGCCCACATGAGAAAAACTTCCCTAGAAAACCCACTTTCCAAATCAGCATTACTTGCTAAGACAACCTTTATTATAAACAAAAAGGACACAAATATTATAATTTACCAAATAAATACTATACTTAATTAATAGAAAATATAAAATAATTTTAAATCAATAAATATTTTTTAACCAAACTTAGAGATTTTTCTATTCACATTCTGAAAAACATGAGGAAATTTGTTATCCAAACATCAAAATGTATCTAATATTCTAAATTCAAAACAGTTACCAAAGTAAAATAAAACTAGAAATATAAATGTATACTTTAGGTTCTGGGACTTTGTTTAATTCATTCATGTTATGACATAGTTTTACATATTTGAAATAAAATGGATTGTTTCTCGCGCCTTCAAAGCTTTTCATCAATTTGTCACTCATCCATTCAATCTACAAATTAAATTAATTAAAATTAGATATAAATTAATTAAAAAAATAATTATCATACACACTTGTGACTTGGCAAATTCTACAGTATTATAGCTAACATTAGTTAAAAATACTAAGGAATATACAGAAAGACCAGACTCCTTATTACGCCACAACTGGTCAAGCATATGCATTAATTCTAGAACACGTCCAGCTGTATCAATTGCTATCAACACATTTCCTTTGATACGAAGTGTTGTCAATATACAAGCTTAAAATTATTAAATATTTTTATGAATTTTATAATAAATATAGTAATAAACAATTGAACAAATGTAATACTCATGAGTGTTTCATCTCGAGCTCGACGCCTGGGTTGAGAATATGCAGCATTGAAACAATCCAATATAAGTAAAGATGGTCTTCCGAGTCTTTCTAAATCACTACCATTTAAATGTCGTTCTTTTTTATGATTAAAATCAACAGCATACACTATATCTTCTTCGCCAACTTTGGAAATTTTCCATATTGTACCACCAACCATATGACCCGCAGGCACTGCTAAAATTCTTAGACCAATACCTTTACCTAAATTAACAAATTTAAAATTTAGTTGAAAATAATAAAAACAAAAACATATAAATTACATTATTTTATTCATATTATTACACAAATAACAAATTTTAATAAATCATACCTTTTAAGGAAACAATTTGGTTATATTTTACTTGAATAACTTTATCAAAAGCAGCATCAACATCATCTAAATTAAATAAATTAAAATCTTCCACATTGTACAAAGACTACAACAAAAAAAAATTCAAAACTATAATATTTTCCTTCATAAAATTGAATTCAAATAGTGGCATATTTGTGAAGGAAGATTATGAAAATATATCTCCACCCTTGAACTTTTAAATTCTGAGTAAATCCAGAAACATATTGATTCTACAATGTTTATTTTTTTGTTTATACTCTGTACCAAAAATTCTACCAGAAATTTTGCTCGGAATTTAAAATGTAACACCTTTTCTAGAAGGAAATTTTTCTCGGGTGGTGTTTTAAAGATGTAATATTTGATTTTTCCAAGCAGTTTTTAAAATAATTGGAAAAAACTGGAAAAACTTACGAAAACAATACTTTTATTATTTTCAATTTTGTTTTTTGTTCTGTAATTCAGTTAAAAATATTTATAGAGACTTGAAATTTGGTCAGGAAACTTATATTTGCCTTTTTCCTTCTTCTAAAATTGACTAGGAAGTTCATTAGAAGTCGTACATTGTGGTCTAAACAATAAAATTTAATTGAATGTATTTTTTATAAGAATTTTAATACCAAATGTTGACAAAAATCTTTTAGTAAAATATTATGTGGAATAAATCTAGTTATTGGTCCAAACAAATTATTTCAATATCTATTTATTTAACTATAATATTGTATATATATTGTTGAAAATCAAAACTATTAATCCAGCTCCACTTAAAATCATTTTTCATTAGTGATGATTAATCTTTGCTTACAAATATACATTCAATTTTCTCTATATCCTACCTTCCCAACTTCTCATCTACAACATTGTGTACATTTACCCATTGTGCAAAGTATGTCCATTTGTTTTTAAGTTCAAATTTGGCATAAATGCAGTGTAGTTCTAAACCAACTTTTGGAATTTTTTTCAAAATGTCTGTTTTTGCATGTTTAATTTATTTGATGTTACCTTCAAAAAAATATGCTCAAATTCTTTAAAATGAACAATTTTTCCAATTATCATAGTAGCAAATTAGTACCTAAAAAAAGTTTACCAAAAAATTAAATTTTTTGGTATAAATTTTTTAAAATGTTAATATTTTTATATTCAACCTTTTGGGTAAAATCACAATTTTACTAGTTCTTGTACTTATGATTTAAGTAATTATTAATAAACCAAGTAAAACTTAACTATAAAGTTATTTAAAATTTACTTTTTCTTCATTCAGTTTGTAATAACATAACAAGTTCCCCACCTCACCACAAATGGGTTCTTTTTTTTAAATATTATTACTTAAATATTCAAATGTTTGAAATAACTTTATAATTAAGTTGTACATCGTTTATTAAAAATAACATAAAAAGCAAGTGCAATAAGTAAATTATGATTCAATTAAAATAAGTAAGCATAAAAATATTAACAATTACAAAAAAAATTATACAAAATTTAAGTTTTTGGTATTTTAAACTTAAAAACAAAATTTTTGTAAAAAATTAGAATAGAATTTTTAAACTTTTAGATTCTAAGTGAAGCCAAGAAGTTTATAGTTTTACAAATATGTTTATTTTTTTTTCTGTGTACAACTTTTCTACCACAAGACTTGTTCTGATGTGTAGAAACTTTTCTGAAATTAAATCAATGAGGGAATTTACCATAAACAGGTAATTTGTTGATTTTCTCAAGAGTTTTCTCACCAAATGCAAAAAACTGAAAAAAAAAAACCAGGCAAATGTACGAAATATATTTGTATAATATTACAATTTTCTTTTTTCTGTGAATAACTTTTCTACCATCAATTTCGTTTCAAATTTTAATGATAGCAATTTTTCTAAAAGGGAATTTCACTGAAAAAGTACTTTAAAGGGTTGTTTTTTTTTATTTTCTCTGTAGTTTTCTCAGCAAATGTGAAAAAAACATAGGAAAAACAGAGAAATGGGTACAACATTAAACAAATAAAAAATTTAAAAAAATATATAGTGCCTACTTAATTATTTTACTATAATATGGCATATTATATTGTTGACAAAGCATCATTATCAACTGAACTCCGCTCAAAATCGTTTTTTTGTTAGCAATGATTTATCAGGTATACATTAAATTACCTATTACAATGGCTTCGCCCATCCCCATTATCCTAGAACATCTTATTGACCATAACTTCTAAAAGAAAATTAAACAACATTAAAAAAAAATAAATTCCAAAAAAACCACTTGGGAGCCAAACTGCATTTATTTTTCAAATTACTTATAAGTAAATACCAGATTTATATTCTCTTAAAACACCTAAAATATGATGGTAATATTTTCTAAAACACCTTAAAATATTCTCATTATATTCTCTTAGAAATTTGAAAAATATGCAAAAATAATCAACGAACATCAATATATGTTTTAATATACTATTTTTTTTACAACATTCCATAAGTAATTAGTGACACTTGCATATTAAAATAGAATAATAGTGCACTTAAGTAAGAGTAAGAATATAATATAAATATAATAATATAGGTACTTTAATTTTTTTAAAACTCAAAAATCAGGCTACACGTGATTGGAAAAGTGAAAAACAAAATATTTGGACACATCAATAGTATATAATGATTAATGATAAACAAATACATTTATGTTATATCAGTATAAAAACAACTAGTCAGCATTGCAGGTTAGTCTCCATGTTTAATGGTTTAATGGTTATAATAGGTAGGTACTACAACACTAAACCTTTTTATCAAAATGATACAAAAAAAAAATTATAAATGTTCAAAATATATTTTTCCAGGTACCATATTATTAAAAATTTTTTTTACAATTTACAAAATATTCCAAAATATGCAAAATAAGATAAATATTTCTTAACCCATGAAATATTCTCAAGTATGCAAAAAAAACTTTTTTCTACAAACTCAGAATTGAATGAATGGTTAACATTTCTTACTCTCATAAGACTGCTTAGTAACGATATGTAAAAACATATAAATCCTAGTCTTTATTTATAAATCAAAAATTTAAAATGTTATGTTTTTGTACCTATTATTAAAATATTAAAATTCCTGAACATATACATTTTTATCTAAACCACTATAACATGAAGGAAATTAGATTAGTACCCCAATAGTAAATTTTAATTTATTAATAATAACTTACTTAAATATTGGCACCTGCTTATTTGATATCAATGTTAATGTTAGAGCAGATATTGAATTTTAAATTACTTACAAAAATATAAAAGTTAATAATTATTTTTTATATGTATATACCTAACTTGAGTATATGTTATACCACATGAAATCATTTCCAAATTCAATATCTCTCCTTGGAAAAATCCTAAATATGCCACTAAACTGAAACATATGAAAATAATCACATTAAGAATCATACCTGATGTAAATCGTACATAAACATTTGACCCATTTGATATACTGGTATAGTAGCATACACTGGACAATTCAAACCACATTTTCCAACAAGGTATGGTAACGCTCCGAGATGAAAACGGTCTGGGTGTGTGAGCAATACGGCATCTATTTGAGGTATATACCTTATAAATGAAAAATAATACAAATCATTATAAGTTCACGTGGCTTTTTTTAAAAAGAAAAAATAATTACCTTTTTAATTTGTTTATCAAGCCCATACTAAAACGTTCATCCCAACCGCAATCCAATAAGAATTTAAACTCGTCAATTTGTAATAAATAACATGGTGGCGATTCGTCCATGGCCCCCGATATAGTGAAAAATTTAATTATAGACGTCATTTAATTGAGTTTGATGAAAGATACAATTTAACGACGGCAGCTTCTTGTTCTCAAATGGAAATAAATGAATATCTACTAGGTATATTATCGATGTGGATACGCAAAGCGGTGCCACTCATAGATGTAAAAAATGGGGTTCTTGTCCGTTCCGTCCCATAGAATAAAGCGGCGTAAAAAGGTAAGGTTTAAAGTTATAAGATAGAAGACCTATAAACCTAGGTAAAAAGATAGCGTTTTGTGTACATATTAAGTTTTTGACTGAAATTAATTTAAAGATATCAAGAAGCGGTTTACAATAATTAATAGCTGTAATTAAACGGAATTAAATGTTTCGTTGATAATATTTGATAAGTCCAGTGGTTCCTAAAATCCGTAAACATTACAATTATGGCGTAAGATAGGCAATAAAAATGCACGAGGGAAATCAGAAAAAACGGTACTAATACAAATCATTTAGTGAAGTACAATAGTACAATACGACCGAGGGAGGCTGCTTTGGAGCTCGAAAAATAATAAAACATAATTAGTGGGAATAAATTTGATTTCACCAAAAGAAAGCTAAAAAGGACTACTTTAGGATACTATAGTCGGATAAGTGGCTTTCGGCCCGGAACATTCTTTAATAGTCCTGGCAATAAATCGTATTACATTAGGATATTATATTTTATTGCAATAGGTATCTATTCCAAATATAGTTCATAAAATTAAAAATTGTCCATACTTCGATATTCGTATATTTTAATGTATCTAATCAGTATAAACTAATTTTTATTTTATTTTGATCAAGTTACATTACAAAAAAATTTACTTTTTCTACCAAAAATATTAATGGAGTTTAATAATTATGTTTTCAATGTGAATGTATGAGATTAGTACAGTACATTAACTAAAATGATAACTAACAAAATAAAATTATTAACACTTACTAATTTTGCAATAATAAAATCAAGACTTTTAGTAATATTAAGTATCTACAATTCAAATTAAATTAATCATTTCCAATTTTGATTCTAAAAATATATTATTTTAATATATCTTTTCAAATTTATTGCTCCCACTTAGTTTTTCAAAACTCTATCACCCTTAAGAGAATATTTATTAAAATGTCTAAATGAGAAGTTTTTCATTTTTGTTTTAATCAAAGTAATTCCAAGATCCGTAATCATCTTTATGGTTTTTGGAACTAGTTGCATTTGTACTTAATTTTGATGGATATTTTGTATAACAAAAAAGAACACCACACGGCTTATGATGAGGGGAGGGGACGCGACTGCTAATAACATCAGCATGAACCTTCATAATATAACGTCGCTAATGTGAACTTTTAGTATAGCACACGTCATATTAGATTCAGGAAGGTAAGTATTATTTGTTTCAATTGAACACCTTACGAAATACAAATAATACAATTGCTGAAAATGGCTGCCTGATCACAGTTAAAGAATGTTGTCTTTAATCGTGCTGATAATGCAGATAAATGATAATACTTTTTTTCAAAAACCTCAGAAAATTAGCAAAGATAATTAAGAATTATTTTATTTTATATGAAAATCAGATGAGTAAAATGAATGACTAAGATATCTAACCTAACCTGAACAAGGTATCTTAGTTCATGGGTAAAATTGTTTTAATAATGAACACACAGATAGTTAGCTAACATAAAGTCGATCGCTTGTTCCGCAGCCCGATCTGGCAGTGGTTTCGAAACCAGATCCGTTTTTCCAACGGTCGCGGTATCTAGGTTTTTGGTATCTCGACTATGCGTCATGTATAGAACATTAATTCTTAATTCTGGATTTTGTTTACTCCACAAACGATAGGAAAGTCAGCTCGCGATAGTGATCCACAAGCTGTTTTGGACCTTAGTTGCCCTCTGCTCTATTCCCCCCTTCATGAAAAATACCAAAAACCCCCATGTGTCACACAATTCCCACCGTGGCTGGTGGAAGTAAAAATAACTATCACCAAATTTCCCGACCTCCCAAAAAAACTTTTGCATTTATTTTTAAAATTATTTAATATTGTTTTTTTTTAAATTACAAAATCATGACGATGAAAAACAATTCTAAATTATGTTCATTTAAAAAAAAATCATTATTTTCAATTCCCCCCCCCCCATAGTGTTCGCAAACGGATAAATCTAAAAATGTATTTACTTCTGCGTGTTTGACCAAAAGTAAAATTCACAGGATATTGTACATAAATATTAAATGCAGGCATAACACATAATGAAATATTTAAAATAAATAATTTATTATACTTGCTATTGTGCACTGAATATTACATACTTACTTAACTAGTTAATATTAATAAGATGTAAATTTCAAATTTTCTATAACAGAAGGTAGTTGACACTCCACAAAAAACTTAACATCAGCTCAATATATTTTAATACACTAAACTATAGATGAATAAATCTATTCATTTATTTTATCAATTTGTGCTGTCAATATAAAATATGTATTATAAAATAAAATCATAATTGAATTTATTTTTAACAAATAAAATATGTAGGTACCTAAAATAAGTTATTCAATTACATGGGTTTTAAAATTTTAATACACAGTTCTTTGTATTAATCGCCTTTTAAAATAGATATAAACTAATTATTTAATATTATTACAGATTTCAAGGATTAAATTGGATAAAAGGAACGAGATAAAAAAAATAGCAACTATAAAACAAAATAATTAAATTGATAGACTTAATATAAATACCTACCTAATTAGTAGTTAATTACCCATAAAACTATATTCCATAACTTTAAATTTTTCTTTCTTTTCATAAAATCTGTCCCAGAACACCAGAGTCAACTTGTTAATGATTGGTTTAAATAAATCAAATTTAGTAAATGTAAAAACAATTCAGTATGGTATTGACAATTAACATTATCAATAACATAAAATATTACATAATTTAATCTATACATTTTATATTTAATCTATTCACTTCAGACCAAACTCACAACCCCCTTTAAAACATCCAGTTACTTTGTTGATGACAAACCACTTATAAGCATCAAACCTCATTTAAAGCGACCTAAATCTTTTATCGGCTTAGTATAAAGGATGAGGGATAAAAGTCAATGAAGCTTCAATTGGTTCAATACAAGTTCACATTTTGACAAATCCTTTGGCCTCATATTTATCTCAAACACTACCATTAAAATATTCTCAAAATATTTGTTATCTAAGGTATACACTTAATATGGACAGTAATCTATATTCATTCTAAACACCTTACCTTAAATGTCTACTCTCCCCAATTAAGTCTTCTTCTTACATCTAAACACATAAATCTCTAAAATTAACTTCTTTATAAACTGTTCTTCAAATCAATTTAGATGCATGATGTTCAGCTATGGGGAGTTGTTAAACACAACATTAATGAAATCCCAACATTCTAATACAAATTCCTTTGTTAAATAATCAAAGCCCCTATTATGTATAAAATCATAATTCTTTATTTTAACAATACACAATTTTTTCCAGATATTCTACTAATACTTAAACTCCAATCTATATAACCCTTTTATTTCAGAACTGTCAGTTCCTACTATGCACGGTGACCACAGAAGGTGCTTAAATGAATCCTTTCTACTTTGCCACTCCATTATCCATCAATGATCAACTCTTTGTCCAAATCTTCATATTTAAAATTAAGTAATACAATTTATTTTATATAAACTTTATAACATCACTTGTGCTTATTGTAAACAATGTTTTTACTGATTATTAAATTTATGACTTAGTTATAAAAAAAAAACAAAAAAATTATAAATTTTAATTACTTAACACTATTAAATCTAAAATTATAAACATGCAAGTTAAAATTTTGATAATCTATTATTTATAAAATGTTATAAAAGTAAAATAATTAAATACTATAAAAAAAAAAACATGATTATGATTTAATTCATAATATAGAATTTTTTAATGCGCCAATAAAATCTTAAAAAGTTGAGAAAACTCTTAGGGTTTTTCATATTAAATGGTAATAATAATAAAATTTTAGCTCAAGAGCACTATTATATTTTTAAAATTGTTTGTAAAAAAATAATTACATTCATAGTAACTATTTTTTAACATTGATAGAGATAGATGGTGGAATGTAGTTGAAATGTCAAAAGTCCTTCAAGGAACATGAAAGCTGGAGAAGAATACATTTTTTTTTTTTGTAAGCTTAACATTTTGATTCAAGTTTTTGTGGTTATTTATAAGTAATGTTACTCCAGTGGTAAAAAGAATAAAAGTTTAGCTTAACATTAAAATTATATTTAATAATATAATTTTAACTCTTGAAAATAAAAATTTGAAACCTTTAAAAAAAGCATATAACAATTTTAAGAAAAAAGTCAAATATTATTATAAAAATATTATGTTATACTAGATTTTTTAATTAGCTCATTTGAGATTAATTTTTACTTGTGATTTTACTAAAGCAATATATTAAACTGTTAAGTCTACAGTATACACAAGATTATTCACAAATAGTCAGTCAGTAGTACACATATTAATATTCCAATAATTATTTAAAATAGCATTTTAGATCTATTAAAATTGACAACTCAAATAATTTTGTTAATAATTTCCATTGATTCAATAATTTTTCTAAAGGTATACATTCTTAAAGAATCATTGATTAAAATAAAATTCTATAATCAATGATAACCATTATAATAATGAATTGTATGTTAAAAAGAAATTTGATCAATAGTTAAAAACTAAGATAATTAAATTTGGAATAAATATAATCGTTTATATAACTCAATATTTGATGTTACAACTGTATCATTATTATATAAGTGGTAAATAATTAATCAAAGTATTTATAGTATAAAAAGAATTATTAAATATATTTAATAGATTCAATAATTAATATACAAAAATATTTACTATTGAAAGTAATACTACATTTGGAAATTGATAATCATTTATCAATGTGATGTGATGTAAAAATATACAATATTTAACAATAAACTTAAATTGAAGATATACAAAAAAATATTTAAAATGAAAATTACAAAATAATCGAGTCTTTTAAATATACAAATTTGAAATGTATAAAGTACAGTGATGTTACAAACTAAACCAATTTAGTTTGAAAATCAAACCAAACTAATTGAAGGATCATACAAAAAAATAATGCAATTTATTATTATATTATATGGTTCATATCAGGTATTAATTTGTAAAATATGCATACCAATAACTGTCAATAAATTATAAATTTAAAAACACATTTAAAAAATGTAGGTTTTGGTTTATTAGTTTTAAGAAAAATTAAAATCAAATTTATGTTCAAAATTTAAAATGGTAGTTCATAACATCACTAATAATCATGGATAACATTATAATGAATAGGACATTTATACATTGTATACACCAGTTAATTGTTCATGAACAAAGGAGAAACAATATCTTTTCTCCTACTCAGCAATGTCTGCATGAGTAAGCTCCATATTAAAATAATTACATTTTTAGTATGAAACAGAAAATAAAAGAACTCAAATTACCAATATGGCCTATCCATTATATAGTATCTATAATAATAATATTTATAGCAAAAATAAATTTAATAATTCAATTAAATAAATATTACTAATGGCATCCACAACTTTTAACGATCATGTTCTTATATTTTTTTAGTATAACATTGTTATCTTCTAAAAAGAACAGCACAGCTTGTTGTCCCATTTTATTAGGAGCACAACAGGGTTTAGGTATATGCAATGGTCTTGAAAGATGTACAAGTGTTTGAACAATTGCATGATTGGTGGCATTCATATGTGCATTGAGTGGAAAATTACATTCCCCGGTGCAATAATATGCACTGTACCCATCTGGTGCAATAATCCAATCCTAAAAAAATATTAATTATAATTGTGAACTATTAGTGTTTATACTATATACCATTTTGGTAATAGCATTCTTAAAGTTAAAATAAATACAAATATTGAAGGTGGAAAAGTTAGTTAAAATCTCCACAATATTAGTTGTAATTAGTTAAACATTTGTTTGTGTGTTTATGTAAACAGTATAAATACAATTAGATGTAAATAGTTTTTTTACAAACCTAAAGGTGCATCCACATTAAAGCAAATTTGTATGTGCCTTGTATTTTGAATTTTGAGAAACATGTGTGTGTGTGTCAAAAATTAGACAAGTTTGGACTGGGTGAGATATGCTTGTGTTTGTGTTGTACAACCCATATGATCAAAGCATTTTGTTTTGCTCAGTTTGTTTATTTTATCATCAGAATATTACTACAATACAATGTTTAGTAATCTGCATTGTCTGAGTGTCAAAATACAACACACGACACACAATATACAGTTTCAAAATATTCCTAACTTGATAACACACAAATTTGCTCTAATTTGGACCCAACGTAATGCATCTAGTAAGAACTGAACACAATAAAACAAAAATAACAGGCATCATTTTAAAATAATTAATTATTCTTAGTAATTTTGATAATCAACACTAAAAATGGTAATTTCATAAAAGTGATTAGCATTGAACAATTTCCTATTTAAGCTAATCATTTTTTTTTTATTAACCCATTATGATTCTAATTTATAATTAAATAAATTATTCACCTGCCAATCGAGATCTCTAAAGTTCACATATAATGTTTGTATTTGACAACTTCTTGACTGAAAACCATCTTGAATATCTAAAATAGAACATTTGTTTTATTTTTAAAATTTCATAAATACATTAACAAAATTGATTAAAAATCATATAGTACATTATAGAAACATATATAGTTGTATAAACATTTATTTAACTAACTTTTTAATACAACTCAAATGGCTTGTCCAGTAAATCTAATTAATCAGATTTAATGAATTATTTAACTTAATTTGGTTAAAGAATTATAGTATATCATATTATGTGGAGAAAACCGAAAAATAGAAGCCACTCTATTATTAAAAACAGATCAAATTATAAATATGACAGCTGATTAAATATATTTGTCTTACTTTGTAATGGATTTATATTAGAACTAGATTCTATAGTTTTTCTTCTGCGTCTATAATGTTTTTGAAGAGAAGGGCTGCCAATTATCACTCCATCATTTCTAGATTTTAAGTAAACTACCATGAATGGTTTTTTTGATTCAGACAACTGGTTTTTATTTGCCCAAGTAACCATACCAATTTCCTCTGGTTTAACTTCGTGATCTAACAATATTATTTTTAAAATTGAAAGTTTATTTATATTTATCAAACAATGAAAAAATCAAACAAATATATTTATTGATTAGTAATAATTAGAGATGATAAGATTGAAATTTACAATAATGTGCATTGTTCAGAGTATTAAATTCTGTTCAAAACCCATTTAGTAATTATGAATTACATGACTTACCTTCATTGCCAAGTGAATGAACAGAGACATACAGCCCACTGTTAGGATATGAATGAATCCATGATGTCAAAACTCCTGTCGTATTAAACCGTAACCATCCTTCATAATCTGTAGTAGTGTTTTGAGAATCTACATATTCCAATTCTTTTTCTCTGTTAAATGAAAAAAATCAACAATCAAAATGTGGAAATGGAAACAAAACAAAATAGATTAAAATAATAAGCAATAGACAAATTATGCTTAATCAGGCTAGTATCTAACCTTGATTTATAACATGCAATTGGAGGTATCAGTCCAAATTTGCATCTTCTAATTCATATTGTTTCTATTTATTTTGTTTGCTTTTCCACAGTATGGTTTTTAATTTTATTTATTTTTTGGTATTTTTAGAGTATGTTTTAGTATCATGCGTAAATGTTTTTTTTTTTTTTAATTTTTGTATATTTAATTGGTGGTGAAAACTCAAAAATATGTGTTTTCGTAATAAGTTGTTGCATAAATAATATATTAATGTGTTAGAGATTCAAACCTGAGACCGAGCTGGTATATCTTGTGAATGACACTGTGCCAACATATTTACAAAACACAAGAGGATTTTTCTAGCATATTTAACCAGTAGTACAGATATAATAAAATTTATGTTTTGATTATTTACAACCACCCCATTAATTTTTAATAGACACTACGGTGGAATATAGAAATTCATACAGATAAATAAATACATACATACATACACACATACACGAAACTGAAACAGTACACTATACCCTCTTTGCAGTCAAGTAGGTAATAATTTATATATTACAATAATACAACTTACCCGCTGTTTAAAATTAAAACTTTATATAAAGTCACTGAATAGTTTTTAATACTATTTAAAGTACCAGATTGGTATAAATGAACTTCAGCTGATGTAATTATATGACTTTCTTCTGATGGAACATCGTTTAATTCAAATAAAATTTGTTTTCCATGTTCATGGCGTACATTACTCATTGGAGCTGAAAATAAATTAAACAATACAAAGCTAAAATAGTTTTGTTTTTAATATTTATAAACCAATATACCTATAGTTATGTTAAAACACTAATATTTTAAATAATAATAAATAAGGTTCAATGTTACTTTAAGAAAAGAAGAATGAAACAAAATATCCAACATCAAAATTATTTTAACATACAGTTTATATATATTACTGTTTTGCTAATGCTTGGGTTGATACATAAACAATAAAATTGATAATTTTATCTTATTAAAGGATAGGCAAATAGGGCTGTTATAAAAACTAGTCTTTAAGAATCTGTGTTGGTAATTATACTTACAATGGTTTGATAGATATAATGTGATAATAATATCACTTTCTTGAACAGTACGGTCATCATATTGACCAATTTCAGAAACACTTCTAGTTTTTCTGTCATGTAATCCTTCGTGCTGTAAAGATTGGTATACATCAAACATAAACTGTGGCGCTGAACCTTCTAGATTTTTTGGAAACCTTCTTGGCTTTTTTGGCACACCAAACATGGTGAGTATTTCCTGTTCTATTTCATTGCGTTCTTCAACTGATATGAGGTCCTGCTTAATGGTCTGTACCCCATTATCCGTATAATACACACCAGTTTTTGATTTAGCAGTAACAATGATATTGGATTGGTACAAGCAACAAAATGTCGCAACAGTCAATAGACACTGATTTACGAGCATTTTTTGTAACAAACTAGACGATTAGCTGCTACCAGATGCAATAAAAAAAATAAGCATATATTCTGGATTACTTAATTAGAACACTGAAAACACTTATGAATTATACAAATAGTTATTAAAAATAACGCATGAAATAAGAAAATTAAGTAATCGTGATTATTGTCTAGATAATAACGATTTAACAAATTTCTATTGTAATAGAAAAATTAAGTACATATTATTGTGAGAAAATTAAACGACCATTACAAACTACAAAGTTATCATGATCCGTAGCGCAGACTGCTACAAAGTGTATCGAAAATGCTACAATATTGATAAAACTGGGTTCGTTAATTTTACTTTCATCGTTTCTTATATGGCAACATTGGAATAAAAAAATCTTATCAACTAATATAAGATCACAGGTACAGAATATATGTACCAGCTATCTATGAACAAAATTAAAAATACAAAAAATTCATAAAATTGATATTACGTATATCAAGAGCCCACCCAGAGCTCGGGAACGCTCCCCAATCCGGGTAGACTGACAGCGGAGGGTTACGGCATGACGATGCTCCTGGTCGAGCATTTTACCAGTGATACAAATGCTGATCCACGGGATGGCGGGAGCCCACGCTATCTCGTGCAATTGGAGCGGCGGCCCGTCACGTCGACAGGCCTCTGCTCTTGACCGAGTTCCTGCCGATGGTGGAATGGTTTCGTGATTTTTGTCACTGGAGAAATATTGTTATGGGTCAAATGCTGACTCGAGAAAAGCTCTAGGTTTAATTTTTTCTATATCAATAAGCAGGTGTACATACCACCTGTACCTTATTATTTGAATGGAAATCTGTGTTTCTTAAATCTTCTAATTGAGTCTTAGTTGTCGGATATAAACATTTTTCACCAGATAATTAATCAACAATTTTTACTCCAAACTGTACGAGTATCTTTGCAGCAAAATTGTTGGTTGCGTTATCACTTAATAATTATATCAAATTTATACCATATCTGTTATCATAGATTGAATTCAAATTTGTGTGCTTCAAATTTTAACATGAACTATTATAATATAGATGCCATAAAAAAAAAAATTATTCAAAATTATTTTTCGGTAAAGAACTATTACCTATGTCGTGAACATAATATTATTGCTCCCAAAGTAAAAACAGTTGCAATGTGCATACACCAACCAGTGCGCAACACTGACGCTTGTATAAAATACGCATGGTTGACGAGTGAGAAATGCAATGCAACTCGGTGTGCAGCTACTACTGCGAACCGATTTTTAAAATAAACGTTACCTACATTGATCAACAATGTTCATCCCGATCTTCGGATTATGAACATGGATATCGAACAAGCTGTTATTTAAGCAACAAAACCGTGACTATTTTTATTTATATTTATATTAAATGATTTTTGACTTTTGTTTGATACACATTTGTTTATATACCTATATAATAAATTATAAAATTAATAATTATAAATGAAAATTTAATAGAATATTTTGTATTTTCGGACTTTTGTCCCCGGACTTTTTAACCGATTACCGATTGGAATATAGGTAGTAATATTCAAGATCTATAGAATTACGAAAAAAAAAATTGGAAAAATAATGTGTCTTGGGTGGGGCCTCGGTCCCTAATTTCCTTCACTGGATCAACCCCTGATCCCGGATCACGTCAGAAAAAATTTTGTACCTAAAGGTACTTTCGAAAATAATGTTCCGATTTGATAAAAACGTATTGTTAGGATAGGCAAATACCATACACTATATCGTATATTTTATCAATGCGATATGTCTATCATGAGTGGGACATTCTTATTTCTTATTATGATATAGTCAAATATGGGAACCACTGGGTTTTCTTATCAAATATTGCTAGTGGAACATCCGTCTCGTAACGTAATTTTCATAAGCAATAAACAATAAACATAATGATAAAACTAATTAAAAAAAATTTAAAAAAAAAAAAAACATAAGAATTTTTATTTGATTAATACTAAACAAATAGGGAAATAGGTAATGAAAAAAAAAAAAATTACAAATTGATTGATTATATGTTATTTGTTTTTAATATATTTAAATAAATGTACAACTATAGTTATAAACTGTGTCATATTCTAGTATAGGTATTTTATATCAAACCTTAAATTCTTGAAATAGAATAAAAATGGATTTTAATGAAGTGAAAGTTAATTTGAGGAAATTCGCCTTTCCTCTTTCAACTGAAAATGCATTAAATCAAATACGTGAGTATTAAAATTTATCAATTATAAAATTATAAATAATTTAAATAAATATATTTTTATGTTTAAACTTGTATAAATTAATAATAGTTCTTGTTGAAAGTAATTTATTTTTTAAAAAACTAGAATCCATTATAAATGGTGAAACAACTAGGAAACAACATTTAAATGAAGATCTTGCAATGGATTTGATATCAGAATTTGTATTTTGTGAAACAAATGAAGAGGGAAAACCTACTAAGGTTGTATAACAGTACTTATTAAACATTTTATCGAATTAAATATCAAGTCATCTATATTTTTTATTTTTTGATTAACAGCCAATGTCTCGTATTAGACACTTAGAACTACTTGTAATGATTTGTGATTATTTTAATAAGCCAAAAATTAAACCAGATAATGACAATTGTTGTGGAGACACTGCACTGAATGCAATTTTTATGACTCTTTTCCCTCAATTTGGCGCACCTCCTTTACGAACAAATATGCTAATAAGCCTGATATCATTGGCTATATCTACCTACAGTAATCTTATACTTCAATCTGCCGGTATACAAATGCAACAATTAGGATGTTCATCGAAATACAGCTCACAATTAGCTGATGGACTTGTAAAAAGATTTTTTACATTCATAGATGCAAAAAACCCATCATTGCACTTATTACCTCAGAATGCTCCACTATTCACAGCCAATCTGATGACTTCTTTATCAGAACTTTATTTTAATAAAAGTAATAATACAAATATTTATTATTTATGTATAATAATGTATTGAATCATTTTTTGTTATCAACACTAGGTACGTACTGGGATTTTGAGATAAAGAAAAGATATTAGTTAATTATTATGGATTTCTTGGGCCAAAATGTCTTCCCAGTCCATCCTTGTTACTACTTAACACCTATAATTAATTATTAAGAAATATAACTATATTTATCCTAAGTTAATTTTAATTAATGTGAAATTATTTGTTTTATTGAATTACAGAAACTATGGATATTAGCATCAAAGAGCCACCTCGTGTTGTATTAGAAATAATTGTACGGTGGATTAATTCTGATACTCGTCTATGTTTCACTGCACACTACACAGATTTACAACGTGCATTGCCTAGTGGTGCAATTCCAATGGCAGCTACACTACCTTTTTTGGGTTTGTTCAGATGGTGTTTTTTTGCTCCACTTTGTGTAAAAAATAATAACGATTTAGTGCTATATTCAGAACTGCATTGTGCACTGATTGATAGTGTTATGGAAGGTTGGAAAGTATATGCAGCAGAAAACCCTAGAGTCAGTTGCCCTTACACTTTAAGTGTACATTCTGTAGTGCCTCAACAACTAAAAGATCTAATCGATGAAGCTATTAAGTAAATATTTAATTGTTTTCATAATTATTTTGTATAGTAAATAAATATGTAAATAAAAAATGTATGTATAAAAATAAAAAATGAATAAATGAGAGTCTAAATATTTAGCAATGCTATAAGCTGGAGCAGTTTTAAAGTTAATTAATGGATGAATTGGATTTTGTTTATGTAATTTTATGAATCAATATAAATGTGGAGCTTCTATTTTGTAATCAAATTTTAATAATATTATTTAATAGAAAATATTATAAAATAGAGGCACCTCACATACATCCATTTATAAAATTACACAAACAAGATTAACTTTAAAACTGCTTCATCTTAAAACCTTGCTATATATAGACTCTGATAAAAGAAAAATTAAATATGAATACTGATACTTCTGTAAAAAATACTTATGATTTTATTGATAAAATTAATACAATTGATATTGAGCCAGGTTCCAAAATGATTTCTTTAGACATCAAAAATCTATGTACATCTATTCTTAAACACCAAACAGTAGATTTTTTTTAAAATAAACTCATACATAATAATAAATTTAACACCAACAAAGTACAAGAAATAATTATTCAATCAATAAATGCAATTATTAATCAAAACTATTTCCGATATAATAATAAATTATAATAGAAAAAAGAAGAGTTATTCATGGGTGGTTTTTTAAGTGCTCTTTTATCTGAAATTTACATGCAAAATTATAAAACCAATAATATTATAAACAATAAAAAATACAGTCTGTATATAAAAGCATATTATAGATTTTTTTTTATCTGTCAACAATTATTTTACTAGGAGACTTATTCAGATTTCTATGTGTAGCATCTTTTCTGAAAGAAAATCAATAAGGGGGAGGTACTTTAGGGAGGTCCTATTTATATTTTCTCATAAAATTTGAAAAACTAAAAACGGAAATATATAGAAAATGTAGTTTAGTTAAAATATATTATGGTATTCATTTTTTCTGTGTACAACTTTTCTACCAGAAAATTTGATTGAGGAGGAAGTACTTCTACTTTAGAGAATACAACATTGAACAAATATTATTAAAGAAAATATATAAAGCCTATTTAATTATTTTACTATAAAATGTTATATATATATTGTGGACAAAGCATCACTTAGAACACTGTTCAGAATCATTTTTAGTTGATAAACCATTGCTTACAGGTATACATTCAATTTATTACAACATTAGCTGCACCTGTCCCCCATTATCCTAGAACGTCTTTTTAAACTACTTAATGGGTAAGTTTATTGTCCTGAATTACTTTCGAGCTTAAATTTCCTGGTAGCTAGTCGTAACACTAGAAAACTAAATACCTTTATGTAACATTCCAGTCTTTAATCACCCTTATTCTCAAAAAATATCATTTTTTAATTCAATATTTTATAATCTTGAAGGTATTCCATTTAATAAACATAATTATTGACTGAGCTCAATATCGTCCATAATATAGCATTTAGAAATAATTCCAATTTTAATACTTCAAACAATTTCCTAAACATATTAAAAAAAAATAATACACAACTTGTCAAATAATGTTTTTAACTATTGTAATATAAAATATCAAAATAATATATCTAAAGAATTTGTTAAAATTCTGATCAATAATCACTTTTAAGACTAATAATAATTTAATCAAACATATAATACATTAGAACTAAAAACTTCACAAAAATCCCCCTTTTTTGATAATATTGGTATACATAAACTTAAATGTAACTGTAATAGATTTTATGTAGGTAAGACAGAGATTTCAAAATAAGATATAAAACACATTTCTGAAATAAAATTTTAAAAGACTTCCCCTAATTCAAATTTTGCTAAATATGTTTTAGAAAATAATCATAATATAAGTTTTGATATTAATACAGACATAGAAATATTAAATACCCAAAATAACATTTACATTAATTCAGTATTTTTCTTCTTCTTCTTCTAAGGCATCTTAAAGACCATTAAGGTCCATTGCCGCAACAACAACATCCTTTCACTTTTCCCTGTCTCTTGACATTTCCTCCGCATTTTCCACACCAATCATTCTGAGGTCATCCTTGACTCTATCAGCCCACCGTTGTCTGGGTCTTCCTCGAGGCCCTTTTGTGTTTGGTTTCCATTTATGCTCCCCAGTACTCCTTCAGATCTTAATTCAGTATTATAAGAATTATATATATATATATATATATATATACAAAGAAATATAGAAAAATAATTTTAATAATATTTTTAATGTATAACTTAAAAATAATATCTTATATCAATACATTTTAGATAATAAATAATAACCAAATTATTTATATTTCTTAACATATCTGTCTTATAATAACCATTTTAAATAATCTTATTAAAATAAATTATTTCTATGTAAATAAACCAATTTTTATATATTTTTTTTCTATGTATTCTTTTATTTAATTTTTTATATTGACTCATATTTTACATTTGGATTGGGATATACCTGATGAATTTTGAATTTGAAACCCGTATAAAATACACTTAATATACTTAATATACACTCATAATACTCCGGGTGACATATTCATTTATTTATCTATTTTTATATATACATTTTTTATTTATACATTTATTTCATATTAACCATTTTAATAATTTTGTTTTTATTTTATTATTTTATGTCTACAAGAGCTAAGTATAAAATTAAATATATTTGATTATGATTTACAAGTATATAACATACTTTGAATTTAAGTATATTTATTAAAAATATTAATGTTAATTAAATTAGGTCAAATGATCCAATGGCATTGCACTCTGTTGATGTAGTATTAGAAAGATTAGCTCAGAGTATTAATGCATCTATAATATCTGATACTATTTTTGGAAATAAACGTAAGAAAAGTATTATTTTTTAAATGTTTTTATTTATTTTTTGATTAATTTTCTATTTTTTATTGTGCTGTTTCAGAGGATTTGGTTAGTCAATTAGAATCACTTCCAGAAAATAAGGTTTTAAAATTACTTATTAAACGTATTCAATTATAAATTAAAAGATTGTGAAGAACATTATACTGTTACTGTATTTAACTAATTTTAAATTGATATGTATATTACTGAAAAAAACACATGTTAAATACAACTTTTAAATAATTAAAAAATATTGTGCACAATATTTATTATAAAAATAAGTGTTTATGAGAGTAAAAGTGTGTGATGACTAGCCAAATATATAGGAACCTAAAATTTTGGATACAGTATCCCATATTATCTTATTTTCAAAATATTTGTTCTCACACAATTGTTTTTAAGTTCTACATAAACTATGGATATTTTGTGAGTCTATTTTGTTCACATGGAAACATACAGTTAAAAATTAATACTTATATATATATATATATTTATACTGAATATTGATGAGCACTATTCAATGGTTGATTTGGTTGATTGTGTCTAAACTATTTAAAAAGTTGACCTATTTGATAGTTTTCATTTAGTTACGGAATCTAGTTGCAGAAACCATCGGATCAAAATTTAAAAAACAAGACAAATTACAGTTAAAAAGATATTTCTAAAAGCGCCTAGCCATATCAAAATATTTAAAAATATGTACCCGGATTTAAGCCTTCTTGCACAACCAATTATAACTAGATAGGGCACTTGGTTAAATGCCATTAATAATTATTGCCAAAATTTCCAAGAAATTAAAAATGTTGTTGCCAAACTCAATCCCACTACTTCTATGTTTCTAGAAAAAAAATTAAATTCTTTTAAAAAATAAATTAGTATACATTTCTGTTAATTATTTTTTGGTGGTTATCATTATAAAATTAGAAACTCATAAATTAACTTTAGTTTAAACTTAAGTTTAAATATTGTAGAGGAAACAGTAAAAACTTGAAAAAGTATAAGGAAAAATTGGCAAAATTATAAATGACAAAGTTAAAAATATTCTAAAACAAATTCTTGCCTAACACAAATGAAAGCTATTAAAAATATTCTGATTAATCTTTCTTTTGAAGTTTCATTGGATGTACAACTTACTCTTTCAGATATAGTCAAAATTCAATATTGTCTATAATGTCAGTCGTAGTGGAACAATCATTTAGTCCGTATAAAGCAATTTGCAACCAAATCAATGATCCTTAGAATTTGAAAATTTAAAAATGCATATTCTCTTAAATTGTAATCAAGATAAATAATAATTTTTTTTTTTAACTTATTACTTATAGTATTATTTTTTAACAATTGCATTATTTAGATAATAATTTGTTTCATAGGGAACTCATAAGATCATATATAATTATTTATTAATAAATAGATAATATTAGTAAAATCCATATTTTGAGTTTTTTAGAACATATTTATGTACATATTTTGATAGTCTAAAACATATTTTCTTTTCTTAAATACATATAAATCTGAGCCCTAGTTATAAGTTAGTAATTTAATGTATACCTGTAAGAAACTATCACCATTGCTAACAAAAAAAAAAACGATTCTTAGCGGAGTTCAGTTGATAGTGATGTTTTGGCAACAATATATATTTCATATTATGATAAAATAATTAAATAAATATTATATATTTGTTTAATATTATACATATTTTCTTGTTCCCCTGGTTTTTCCATTAATTGGGAAAATCAAAAGATGACCTCCCTAAAGTACCTTCTTTCTTTGTCTAATTTACTTTAAGAAAATTTGATACACTTAAAAATCGGAGTACGATTTCTGGTAGACAAGTTATCCACAGAAAAAAATTATACTATACACTTTTTCACGAGAAAAAGTTAGTGTGGCCACATCGGACCCCCGGTGTGGCCCGATAGTGGTGGGCGCCCTGGGCGAGGTGCGGCGTGGGGATGCGTAAGAATGACTGGTTTTCGTCGAGACTCTTTACCGTTCTTTCGTGAAAAATAGTATGTGCGCATATTTGAAGTGAAACTCCTAAGCTGGGTTTACACGACGCGAATCTAATGTGCGAGGTATGATTCGATATGATTCGACCTGTGTGAACGTGTGTCTCGCCTTCTCGATAATTCGCGATCAACACGAGGCGGCCTAGTGGAGGTTTTGTAAGTTTCTCGGTTTTCTGAAGTGTGTCAAAAGAGATTCAGTTGTTTGTTTCGCATCGTGTAAACTTGGTATCGTCTCGCCTCGCTGTTCATTATGGATCAGAAACAATGTGTTCAATTTATTGAAATGTATAGGGAGTTTACGATTTTATGGAACCCTAAAGGAAAAAATTACCACAATCTTCATAAAAAAGAGGACGTATGGAAAAAATAGGAAAACTCATGTAGTTACACCCGGAGATACTACCATACTTGTCTCGCCTACGAATGACTTAAGACTGATGGCTCACTCTGATTCATTTGGATTTACGCATCAGATGCGCATCGTGTAAACAGTTGGATGAATCAGCTATTTAGTGAGGCAGCCTCGCGCATCTTGCCTCGCGATCAGATTTGCGACGTGTAAACCCAGCTTAACGTTTAAACGGCTAGATTTAATTTTATTGTTTTGATAAGGATTGAAATGAAATGTTCATAAAATGACATACAATATTGTTTGGATATGAATATTATCAACTTCTTTCAGTCATTCAACTGACAGAATATTAGGTTTGTATTGGAATAAAATAAAATCTAATTGAAATTAATTAAATGTATTATTGTTATTATTAATTTTCTTATTCTATTATTACGAATGATATAATGTGATTATGATACCTAACTGAATTAGCCGTGACACTTTTATTTACATTGTATGTGTATTTGTGTGTGTGTTAGTAGTAGGAAATATCCGGATTTTGAATAGTTGGAAAATCTGAATTCTTGGATTTTAATCCCAACAGATTTAATTTGATTAGGATATGTTATTATCTGCATTCACATAAGTAATGTGTTTATTTTCGTAATCAGGGATGTGACCTTGATAATATATTAAAAGTCAACATTTGAAATGACCAGAATAGATCGAAGATTGCATTTATAGATATAAAAGTGATATATTCTGAAAGAGGGGTTCGACCTGCGCTAAATATTAAAAGTTTTTCAGGGTGGTTTTCCGATTGTATTCACTCGCAGTGTCACAGGTGTGTGTGAGTGTGTTAAAAACAATGATGACGTGATCATGGTGCACAAAAATTGTCTGTACTTAAAATCGTCAAGTACTAAACACTTACTTCCTTTATTGCTATCGATAATTTTAATATCCATTTATAAAAACACTAAAAACCACTTACGTATTAAGTTACGTTAACAGGCGTTTCGGCCGAAAACTGTGCTGGAATCTGGAAAAATACTTAATATTGGATTGAGCGTTATCATCAATTTATTGCAAGTTTAAATGAAATACTTAACTAACGAATAATAACCAACTATATAAATACATATGTACTATAATCTACGATAAGATATAAGCATTTGTATGTAACAGATTATTTTAAAATTATAAATAAAACATGCAACCATTATACACAAGACATTAATGTGCGGTTTTTACTCACTATAAGTGTGCGATTTTGGTTTTCAAATCGTTTTTGAGTTGAAATTTTATGTGTGCGGTTTTTGGATGAAACCTAAAATTTAACAAAGATATTAGTCATTTTTAATACTACTTTTACTATTTCTAATTTAATAACAGGTATATACCTATGCACCTAATTAGTATCATTGTGAAATAATTTACTGACCCAAGTCTATTGTATTGAAGTACTGTACCTATATTTGTATCACATAACTATATTTTAAAAAAGCTGCAAAGCATCATTATATTTTGTAAACTTAAACAATTATAGGTAGTAGTTTAATTATAGTATTTAACATAAATATCTTCATGTATATTGTATACAAAGCGATTATTTTAACGCAGAACATTTATTATTCAGGAAATTATTAACTTTTACTGAAATTTTATTTTTTAAAAATTTAATATATTTCTAAAATCTTACATAGTCTTATTTTTTAAATTCTTATATTTGACGGAGAAACCACTACCAACTTATGACTATCCAAATTATGATAGTATATATTTTATATAGGTATTAAAATTTCTATAAATTCTTGAACCTATAGTTAAGATTAATTTTAGTTATCATCGATCTGTTACAAGGTTGCAATATTTGTAATACGCTGATGAAATATACCTACAATATACATGCAATGTTTATAATTCTTGCTATTTTTTATGTTTCTTTATTTAGTATGACCTAAACTAGGGATGGCAAATACATGTCACGCAAAAAATTAAAATATTTATATTATATTTTTATTTTTAAGATAAAATAAATAACAAAATCATAATTCCATGCATTTTTTGTAGAATACGATTATCTAACTCAGTATTGTCAGTGTCAAATGACTTTATGACTTTCCAGTAGAAACTGGACTGAGATAAGTGGATAAATTATCTTCAAACATTGCTCTTGAATCAGTAGTAAAGGAAATACAAAAAGACTCCATAGGTTTGGGAATTGAAGGAGAAAATATAGTATTAGCAGTCTACATAAATGTTATAATATTAATGGGTAAAAACAGAAGATCAAGTAAGAAACCCAGCAAGTGGAAAAAGGAAAAAATATAGGACTGAATATTAATGAAAACAAACTAAATACTTTTTTGTAACTTGTTACAAAATATACAAAATGGAAAATATTAAAATCTCAATATAGTGAAACCTCTAAATACTGGACACACTAGGTGACTGAAATTTTGTCCGTTATTTGCTATTCAAGAGGAAAAGTGCTCTGTTGCATTTAAAGGCTTTCCTATAGATAATTAATGCAAATATCCCCATTTTCAAAAAAAAACTGCCCATTATTTCAATCACCGCTGTTTAGAGGTTAAGGGGTTAAAGGAACTGTATCAATATTTTTTGGTTATTAATATATTCGTAGTTTTAATATAATGTTGTGATTAGTATATATAGAATATATTATTTATGCATTTTTGTCGACATTTTCAACAAATATTCATATCACTCTCCCCAAAAAAAGTTTCTAGTTAGGCGACTGTAATTAGGGATGGTCAGTGTTAGATAGAGATGAGTGGAGAGGCATAGTGAAAGCGGTCATGGGTCTAAATGGCTTGGAAAAATCCAAAAAAAAAAAAGAGGAAGAAGCTATTTCACTACTTATAAGTAGCATATAAATTACCAAGATTCATTTTCTTTTTCGTTTTTTTTTTCTGTTAAATGTTTTAGAATTTAAAAAAAAGTTAATTTACCTGTGAACTAGAGCATCAAAGTTTACATTCTAAATTCCTATACCTACATGGCTATATTTACTTATAATGAGACGTGTGCATTGTGGCGTGTTTTTCTTACATAGGTACATTTATAAATTTAATAATTTCTCATATCTGAGAAACTAGTACATAATATTAATTTGTCAACCAGGCGTGCAGGGGCAAAATATAATGAATTATATTTCTCCCACTAATTTTAAAAATTAATTAATTTCTTTGACACCATTTGTTTCTATATATTTCTGTAATAATAAAAAATAAACATTATGTAAACCTATAGCCTATAGGTATTCTTTAGTGTAGTCCTTATTCGATTTTTAATCCATCAGTTTAGCGCTCCGATGTATTTCGATTTCCTCACCAAAGTCGATTAATCTGATTACTAATCATGTTACTTCTCGATGCATCGGATGATCAATCAACAAATTAGATGATGGAAATATGTTATCATTATTGTGTGATGTAAATGTGTTAATGACATACCGTTTTTTTCGTTTTAATCGTGTTATCAATCCGTGTGTTCCGTTTTATGTTTGTTAATTTAATTATTTGCTTCTTTGTTCATTTTTGTTTCAAAATCATGGATCATCAAAATAAATTTGAACTAATAACCGTGTTATTTAAAATAATATTAATATAATATATTATCAGGTTAACTGTTAAAATCTATTGTTAATTAATTATTTTAATAATCTAAAATCGCGTGATGGAGCATTTTGCGTTTTAACAAAAACATTGTTTCTCGACTATCAATCCGGTGTCCAACAAAATTGTACAACATTTGATTAAAATTTAAACGGCCCATTACGCACACCATTTATAGCCATTTATTATACATATTTTTTTTATTATTTAAAAACACTTCTACAATATTAAACCTATGTATTATAAAGGATCGTCACATCCAAATCATTTACATTGAAACTTAAATTTTGTTCAAGTTTATATTATATAATACATAAATAACGCATATTATTGTTGTAAATGTTGTAATTACACAGTTGAGAAATTAAACGTAATTTCTATTTGTAATGATGTAGATGAAATATTGCCCCCTAAGCGGCCCCACAAATAAGATGCTACATATATTACACTGACTAACTATAAAAACGAGTACATTGCA